CATCATCATCATCATCATCATCATCATCATCATCATCATCATCATCATCATCAGAGAATCGATGGCCAATCAATCTAGTGAGAGCTTGTCCATGGGAGGGCCATAGCGAAATCGAAATCCGGACAGAACTGAGAGGAGTGAAGACCAAAGGTGATGATCCTGTAAAGGCACGTGAAGCTGCAGAGGATGCAATCAAGGAGGTTGGTGCCGATGTGACAATTTTCACAAATGGATAGGCTGTCGCAGGATACCGCGAAGATGGAGCAGCAGCAGTAGTGATAATGAATGGTGAACCACCACGAAAAGAAATAATTAGAACTAAAGGTGCATTCCTCACATCATCTTATGACGCGGAATGCCAGGCGATGATGTCTGCTGCACAATGGATTGTTGACAACTGCTACAGTAGAACCAATGGGCTGATCTCTGAAACGGATTGCCAGGCAACAGCGCAGACATAAATGATTTGCGCCGCAAGTTCAGTGAAACCACAGCCACAATAAAGATCCAGTGGATTCCAAGCCATGTTGGAATTGAAGGAAATGAGGCAGCAGACCAAGCTGTCAATGAAGCAAGAGAGAGTGAAGGAGCAATTTATCACATGTCGCTGGGGTCAGGTGGAGCTTGCGAAACTGCGGTCGGATCATCATTGGAGCTGGAGATGGTATCAGAACTTTGAGAATGAAGAGCTCAACCCACTTTGCCAAAGATGCAGCCATGAAAGGAAAGGGAGGATGTTAGACTTGAGTTTGAAGGTCCAGGAACAATGGCAATTCGAATGGAGATTTTCGGACGAGTGGATGTGCCAATGAGTATAATGACAATGGAGCCGGAAAAGAGCCTCGCTCTCACTCGAAGAATTCTTTGTGGAGTCCACCAGGCCCATTAAGGAAACAAAAGAGAACCATTATCATTATCTATCATCATCATCATCATCATCATCATCATCATCATCATCATCATCATCATCATCATCATCATCATCATCATCATCATCATCATCATC